TTGTAAATTTAAAACATACTATAATATATATAGAAAACTATTTTACTAAAAGTATACGTTAATTTTTTTTTTTTTTTTTTTTAAATCCCATAGTAAATTATTGTAATCACATGCTTTGGGAGTTTTTTTTTTTTTTAATATCTAAATAGAATAGTGATATGATAATTAATGGTGATAAAGATAAAATGCAAAATGATAGCTGATAAAAACATTGTGACAGAAAAAATTTTTGCATTATTTACGGAATAATTTTCAAGTAAATAAAATGAAATTTCCAGTTTGCTTCAATTGGTACACATCCTTCATCTTCACTCTCCACAAATTCCAACGATGAATACGATGTTCCATGGGATTGTATGTTTTTCATTCTTTTTTTTTTTTTGAAAACAAATTTTCATATAATTTTTTCAAATTAATTCTTTCCGATGATAATTTTATCTCTCATATAAATGATAATGATGTTGATTTCAGTAAGTCGTATTCCGGTATTATTGGAAAGTAACAAAAATATGCATCGTATGAAAATTCCGGAAGGAAACTATGAAATTAGTTTCGGTGATTCAATTTTCCTGAAAAATGGATTCAGTTGCATTGAAGCTTGGTCCTATCCACAAATTACTTGGTTATTTATTATAACATTTTTGCAAAAATATTTTTTCCAACTTATTTTTCAATATCTTTTTATCATTTATTGAAATTGTACCCATTCTGATAATCAACCACAAAAATGAACGATCCTGTTATCTTTCATCACTATCTTCTCATTTTTGAGAATGGATAATTTGCGATACTTGCTACCTTCCTTGGATACGGTAACTGTTTTTTAGGTTTCCTTTCCGAAATTATACTCCTTATTCACCGTTATCCATTACAACCATGGTAGACATATAAACTATCATTGAAAATTAATAAGACAAACACTTGATAGATAGATAGATAGATCGATAGATAGATAAATCGATAGATAGATCGATCGGTAGATAGATGGATAGATAGATAAATTAATGGAAGTTATTCATGTGCAATGATACATCTTCATCTTCCCTTTTAATATCTTCTGTATATATTTAACAACATTTAATCTTGGATATATCTAAGACGCATATTTGAAAGTGTATTGTATAATATACATTGAAATGATTTAAGATTTAAACTTAAATATATTTTGACATAACAATGATAGTAACACCTTTTCAGAATTTTGTTACAATGTATTCGAAAATGTCAAACATATTTGACAATAATTTTATTCAAATTAAAATCATTAATGTTTAGCAATTCTAATATAACGCTTTATATATTTCGATTCTAAATTGCATTCTGAAATTAATGTTAATTAGATGCAAAAATTCTACGAAAACAATAGAGCAATAAAAACTGTAAATTACGGTTAAGAATTGATAATTTAGTTTGTTTAAATTAAAATTTACTCAATTTTAGAAAACAATTTATCCTAATATTTCATTTTATATGCTTCGATTTTAAGTTACATTCTGAAATGAATACAATTCAAGTTTAGGTTTGGTACCGGTGAAAATTGTTTTGCTTTTGAAGTTGACTATGATCAACCGTACGAATTCAAATGTGGACGACCGGAAAATGTTCTCGAAGCGCTGCAACAGCATATAAAACTGAAACCTGATACGGCGCTTCCAACAAATACTTGTAATGTGTATACGAAGCAATATGTTCCAGCTGAACAGAAAATTGATCGGTTTATTCTTAATTGATCCTTTGTTTCTTTATTCATCATTAATTAATGAAGTGAGAAATATTAGTGAAATTAATTTGAAAAAAATTGCTCTTAAAGAAATTAAAAACTTAATTTGAGTAAACTAAATTTTACAAAAATTTATAATTAAAGGGTGATCAATTAATTAGTAAGATTACTGTTGATGCATTTATCAAAAAATACATCAAATTTTTGAAAAAAAAAAAATTTTTTTTCTGATTAAAATGTTAATTTAATGGTGGAAATTTAGAAGTTCATCGGAGCGTCAAATGCAAAAACCATCATTACGTTCGACATTATCATTTCGAAATGAGCGAGGTACACTTAATTCGGCATCAGGTGATTCACGTTCACGTTTTCCATTTTTCCGTCCAAAAAAAGAATGGAAAGAAAGGGAGAAATTCGAACTGGATGCAAAGGATGAATGGATAAGGTTGCTGTTGTATTCTTTCATATTTTATTTAATTACAATTTGAATATTGATTGAAATGAAATCTTTCTAAATAAGCGAAAAGAAATGAATGAATTGAAAAATGTAATGAAAAATGAAAAATGAAAAAGTAAAAAATAAATTAAGAAATGGATTGAAATAAAAATTTTAAGCTTAATCATTTTTATGAAATTTGAAAAAGAAAAATTATTTCTTAAAACTGCCTAAAATAATTAATAAAATTTTAAAAATTATTGAGTTTAAGGAAATTTATCTTAAAACTGAATATAACTTCTTCTTCTTTCTTTTTTTTCCCCCCATTGAAGATGGATCACATTTTTTTTTTTTAGAAAATTATAGTTACAGATATAGCAAGGACAATTTGGTTGACATGTATAACAATGATTTCTATCAAGTAAAACAACCAGAAAGAAGTTATTTGAGGTTACCAGATATGTCTAATGCGCTTACATTTCAGCGTGATCTCGAGCAAACTATTGCTAAGCGTGTATGATATTTTTCATTTTCTTTTAAGTAATCTTTTTAAACTATTGAAAAAAAAACTTAAATCCATTTTATCCGTTAAATTTTAGCTAAAGGTTTTTTTT